AAGTCCATCTTATTCTTAGCAAAAAAATTGGAATGAGTATAGACTACTCTACTCCCCCCTCCTCTCATCAAGTTCTTTTCTATCTTATTATTATATCTTCTTTCATTGCTTTCTCTTTTCTTTAATTATACATGAATGTATTGTCTTTTTAGAGTTTTTTCTTGATTTATGTCCTTAAAATTTATGACACATAATGCAAAAATGTAGTTTTTTAGATTAAAAGACTCTTTTAGAAAATGAATGATTTATTTTAAAACTTCAAAAAGAATTGTCTAAGAATTCATTTTTGAAACTTATATGTATCTATTGTAGTATAAAATTATAAATTTATAGAAGGTTTTATAAGGTTTTGAAACTTTAATCTAATGTTGGTCAAATGTTGGTCAAATGTTGGTCAAATTGTTAAATATTTGGTTGTTTGTGTACATAAACAATAATCACTCATTCATTATGACTTAATAGATACTAAATAAAGAATATGAATCCAAGGATATGAATGAAGAGTAATTATGTAGGCGATGAAAGCGCGGCTGAAACCTCCGCCAGGCGCGCGGAACAGGCCACGGCTTCACGTGGTCCCCTTCGACTTGACCTCCTGTTTCTCGCTTTCACTTTGCCACCCATACAGGGCCCCGCCATTCTTATCCCCGCCCACTACCGCACCACCGTGAACAGCGTTGCTGCTCTACATCCGACCCAATCTCCTTTCGCGCCTTAACTCCTCTCCCGTTTTCACAGTCTCCTCATATTCCTGCTCGTGTGTGATCCATTAGAGTGTAAGAACCGACTGTTTGGAAGTGTCTGAGACATAGAAGCGTCGAGGGGGTGAGAGCGAGTGTGTGTGTGTGTGTGCGCGCGCTCCAAAACGACGCCCTACTTAACAACCATTTCAGTGCCCGAGAATTAATCCTGCTTCTTACAACTAAGTTTTCGTCTTTCCAGCAGTGTAATAAGCGAATTCTTTTCGCTGGTCGGCACTCGCGTGTGGGGCTTGACTCTCACCTATATCCAATTTCCGATCTCGCCATCGAGCGACGACGGTGCCTAATTATGGGGATTCCGGTATGGCCCTGCACCGAGATGGCAGCCCCGTGCTGCGTCGGGCACAACAAATATTTCCGCCGTGCTGCATCGGGCACAGCAGATATTTCCGCCGAGCTGCATATTTTCTAAAATGATGACGTGGCATGAAACAGTCAAGCCTCATCCCTCCTTGACTCTCGATCCAGGGTGAGTGACTGCATGACTTCTGCAGCTTTGAATCTGATGATGATACCTTTGTGTTACCGCGGCAGAATGATAGGTATCAAGGCCACCAGGTCATGGCAGTGAGTTGGGGGTATCAAAGAGAACCCAGAGTGGACCCCATTCCCACTAGGTTTTGGGCTCCGAAACTGGGTCAGTCTGGATTCCTGATGTTGCATCAAATAAATAATTTTTGCCAACATTGGATGACCATTTAATGAAGGTTTTTCTCACGGAGTGCATGTCAGAAAAATGCCAAACTATAGGTTGCTTTGGTCTGAGACATAAACATGTAAGCATCCAAATTATTAAATTTATGGTCTGAAATGCTGTTATACTAGGACATGATGACAAGTTGAAGGCAAATTGCACTTGAAATATCACTTAAAGGCTGGCAGCTTCAATCACAACAGAAGAAAAGAAAGCTGTTCTATTTGTAATTGATTGTGGAAATATAGAGCTTCATTCTCTGATAATTGCAGATTTTACTGTTTTATTCCAAATTGGAAAATGAAAAATTATAACAAATTAAAACACAACCCATTGGTGAAGTTCTAGAGAATCATCATTCTTGGTAAGGGCATGTGTACTGTTACAAATATAGTTTTTCAAATAATGTATATTTGTGGTGTTATTAAAATTGTGCTTCATTGTTAATCTAATTTTGATATTATGAATTAAGTGTAACTACCACAACAGAATATATGTAAATTAAAAAGTCATCAATCAAATTGGACTCTTGGAGATTCATTTCATTTTCCATCATGCATGGAGTGCAGCTTGATTTATTGTTATTTAAAAAAAAAACGTCTCCAAACACAATGTTTTACAGGTTTCACTTCTTTGCTTTTTGATAAAATGCATTATGTCTATCATTCTGAGAAATTTTGACTTTACATACTTCCAACTAAATGTGATTATGACATAAAAGTTGAATTTGATATCATTTTTTATTTGTGCTTTGAGAAGATACCTTAAATTTATGGAATATCATAGAGTTCACAAGGTGATAAACAAATTTGAGAGTATTAATTTACTAATGCATCAGCTAAATTATATAGTTTTATTGATCAAACTATGTAGCTTTTCATCTGATGTACAATTTATATGATTTTGATTTCATTTTTTCTTACTGTTTAAATGTCTTCTCTCAGTTCTTTACACTGATTGTGTTTTCCATCCTTAACTTGGTTTCTTAATTTTCATTTATTCATTCATGATTTTTGGTTAGAATACATGACTGCAGTATGTTCTAGGCTTCAAGGTGAAGAGTAAGAAGCTCATTAATGATACTGTTGAAGGTTGGAAATGCCAACTGCATTACTTTCTCTTTTGTTTTTTATTTTTATTTTTTTGGATTGCAGAATTTTCAAATTGATCTATTCAAATGCTTGGTGTTATCTTACAGGGTCCAATCGCACATGGAGCATACAGGAAATTCCTAATACTAGAGCTGAAATGAGCTATTTTACACATTGCTTGGGAATTCAAACATCACAACAGAAACGAAATAAAAGGATGATTTTGATTGAAGCAATGCTTTTGATATCCACAACAGATTTAAAATGGACTTCTGGCAGTTGATATATATGTATATATATATATATATATATATATATATACATATATGAACATTTTCCAGCCTTTGGTCCATGTTTCGCTTATACAAATCCAATGGTGTCCTTTAATATTCTAATCAAGAGGGAGAATTTGACGTGTTTGCAACAATATACAAAATATAAAAAAAAAAATGTTTAAATGAAGCACAGAAGTTGCCACAACTTAGTTCATTTTGCAAGAATTTGCTAATTAATAATCATGGTATTAATATGTTGAATATTTGAAAAAAACTCTACACATTGTTATTGATTAATAATGTATTATGAAAATAAATAAATAAATAAATAAACAAAAAACAAATCGTAAAAATGTTGCTTAAACTATTCTTACACTGGTTAAAAAGAATCACACCACACCACCAAAGCCATATTCGCTTCGTGCTAATATTTATTTATGTGGAGAGTGCTGAGTGGCACCTCCTCGCGGGCAGACGTACCACGTCTGTTTGGGCAGTTGGATTGGGAAGGGGAAAAAAGTGCAAAAAAGGAAGACAGAGATTCTTCTTGTGAGGGGCCCCAACTTACTTTCCAAGCACAGTGGGCTAACTATTGCTTTTAAAAAGTGGTGGAATACCCCTCCCAGATGAGCCCCGCTGGCATGCCCAGCTGGACTTCTTCAATGGGGTGCAATCCAGACTCTCACATCCACTAGCAAAAGCAAAATTGAGATCCCCACTTGGTGAGATCCAATTCCTTTCCAAATAGTGAGATTAAAGGAAAGAGATAGAGAAAGAGATAAATAGAGAGGAAATTCCAGCTTAGAACAATGTAAGATCAATGGGTGATACCTTAAAGCCTTCAAACTCAGGCACTCATGGACAGCAAAAGGTGCCGCCGTGGAAGTACAAGATGATGACCCATTTCCTTAGGGTCTAGTGAATCGTGTGCTTGACTTTGTTCTGCAACTGGTTTGAAACCTAATCTCTCACCACTTGTCCAACCACCTTCAAAATGAAAAAAATTGCCTCATTATACTAGTAGTAGTGAAACATCATTATCCTGTGCAATGAGCATGTGGATAAAAGGGACAACATCTAGTGAATCTGTGTGTCACTTGGAGTTGTTCTCGTCGCAATTTACTTTGATGCACATGTAAGATTCTTTTAGTTGTCTGTGTTTTATTTGGAGCAGATCATGCCATAGCTTGTATGGAAAACGGAATATGAATTAGTTTAGAAGAGTTGCTCTCACCCTCACCTATAAAGGGGCAGAAGAATCAGTGGGATCACAAAGGCCTCCGAGATCTTCTTCCATCCCATTTGATTTGAAAGCTCAAATTCAGACTTGATATTTCCGAATGGTCACGCATAGACGAAAGTGGAAGAAAAGCTCAGATTTCTCATTCATCCACTAATTTCCGATCAATGATGTGCCGGTGAGTCTGGGTGTGGGCAGCGGGCAGCGGGCAGATATCTGTATAAAGCGCCGAAGGTCAGAGGACATCCAGAGGGAGTAGTAGGCAAACGTCACTTTATAATGCCAGCGTGGAACCTGATCTAACAGCTATTTGTCTAATTAAAGGAATCCGTGGATTTTGCTCGTTCGTCCTCTTTTTCTTCCTCCTTTTTTCCCGTCGAATTTAAAAATGGAGGCACACTCGCATTGAAGTGGGAGAGCTGACGTGGACAGTGCTCTCATTTAATTCATCATGGGGAAGGGAGCAGAAAGGGCCGGGCCCCACAAATGGTGGCTCTGTAGAAGGAGATAATGTGAAGATGAAGTGACTGCGTGATTTGAGCTGATGTGGTGTGCGACGGGATCGGGAGGGTGCAGGCCGGGCCGGGTCGGGTCGGGAGGGGAGGAGAGGGGGCCCAACCCCCGCCCGGGCAAAGATGACCTGCCTTGTTCATCCAAGCCCCGCTAATACAGGCCGTCGTCTTCTCCAAATAATAGTTTCATCCATTTCGGAAGTGGCGTCCTCCTCAGGCTGTTAAGGCTGTGCGGGCCTCTCCCCCGCCCCTTTTAAAAAGAAATATAATTTTAAGTGTATTTTTTAAATTTTTTATTCTTATTTTGATGGACCTCTTCCGCCATTGTTCAACCTGCGCTCCGGAGTGGCAGTTGGAACACTTGATGCGCTTGCAGGTGCGCGCAATTCGGAGGGTTTTGAGTGAGCTGGTGAGTGGCTCGTGGATGTATTCGGGGAATGAATGGAATTGGTGAGGTGGAGTGGTGTGTGCAGGCTGGTGCTGATCCGAGGTGCTTGTGGTAGTTCAAGACTCAGTAGATTGCCAAGTTCGGGTCCTCGTACTGTGTGAGTGCAAGAGAGGGAGGAGGTAGGGAGGTAGGGAAAGAGAGATAGAGAGAACAGTGGTGTTGTTTCCGTGGTGTGATTGGAGTGTTGCTGTTGCGAATGTGGGTTCTGTTTGATGATTTCTATCTAATTAGTGAGGAGAAGGAAACGTGCTCTAGATATGGGGGAGATACGGGGACCCTGCCGTCAGCGGAAGCATATGTTAGGTATTTGTGCGGCAGGTTGAAAACTATGTGTGGTCAAGACGTTGCTGCGAAGGCGTTCTCTGGTATGTAGTGGAGCACGCCGTGAGTCAATTTTGGCCGTAATGGTGTGTTTTGGCTTTACAGGTGGAGTCCTGGAGGTGAGCCCGGCACCTCATTTTCTTGAGGTGCCTAGTAGTAAGCTTGGTGTTAGATGGAGAGGATAAGGTGTTTTTAAGAGTGGTGGCACTCTTCAAGATTTTAGCACTCAGAGTCGAATACTCCATTGAGAGCTAGTGAACTAGTCCTTCGAGGGGATTTTAGCTAGTGCCACAGTCCCCTTGACGAGGAGTTCGATTATAGCTGTAAATTAGAACTTGCACGGGTTTAGAGGTTGACTGCGGAATATTATGGTCGTGCGGTGTATCTCTGCTGATCTTCTGCTTGGAAATGGGGATCCCCGCATGTTTCACTAGGAGTTGCTTGCTATTTTACGATGATTTCTGTTTAATGTTGGTCAAGTTTGGTAGATTCACACAGATGCGATAGGGGAGAATTTGGTAGGAATGTGTTTTCTTTGTATCTGAGACTTTTCTGCGCAAGTACTGAGCTGCTATATCAGCTGAATCTTCTCGGTTTGATGAGTAGATTGCGCTTTTCCTTGGAAATAATTTTGAGTACAACTAACTCGCACTAGTGTAGAACTGTCATGCTGTTTCGCTTTATGACGTTGCTATACTGCTTCTTTCAAACCCACTTCGCCCTGTGTCGTTTAGTATAATCCTCAATACTGTTTGGAAAAAGTGAATTAATTTTATGACCAAGAAAACATGGTTTCATAGAAAATGCTATTTTATTCTATCGAACCGAGCATGCATCTCAATTAGTACCAATGGAGCATTGGATTGAAGATCTTGCTAGATATCAACTAACCACTTGTGTCCTAGCATCTACGATGTAGCTGAAGAAACTAGCTTGCGGACGTCGCTTTCTTTGAAATAAAAATCATTGAAAATTAATCGGTTTAGTGCGAGCGTGGGTTTTTTCAATTTTAAAAATTAAAAATTTTCTCGGGTTTGTTGCCTAGGTTCACAGACCTAGACCTAGTTCGTTGATGCTCTTTTTGGTTTTTCCTCAGCACGTTGCTGGTTGCTGATGTATTTAATGAAGGATCGATGATCATGTGTTTTAGACAAAGAGTCTGTTTAAAAGAATGTCGTTCCAATCAGCAAGTATGGATTTTGGAAGCTTCCAAGAAGTCAGTGACTGCAAGAGTCTTGAAGTGGTTTGGACTTATTGAAACGGAAAGCCTATCGAATCATAGTAAATGCAGCATGGGCAATTTTTTTTTTTTTTTTTTTTTTTTTTCCCTTAAATACTATTTTTATTGATATAAAAAAGCATCTTTTAGATCATCATTGAAAGAGTACCAATCCATTTTGCAATGTTCCTGATGGAGAACTGAATGAAAGAACCACTCAATCAGCTGCTTTGAGGTGTTTTTAGTCCACACATTGCAACCACAATCTCCCGAAAGTTGCATTAAATTAAGAAGTGCGAGTATGCATTTTCTAGGATGTTTTGAAGGATTGGAGTTGATGAAGTGATCATTTCGCTGTCATTTGGAGCTTTTTTCGAATGTTACGCATCATCTTGTTTGTTTTGTTTTGTTTTTGTTTTTGTTTTTTTTTTTTTTAGTCTTTTTAAAAATCTCCTTCCCCCAAGTATTGTTGCGAGTTCTTTGTTTGCATATCCTCTTCTTCTGAGGGTGTAGGTGACCATCTGTTTGAGTAAAGATTCAATAGCAGCGGATTCTTTAAGGCCTTAATGTATTCTTGAGCTCGTTTTCTTACGTGATAGGAATTGTCCAACAGCTTTTCTAATCTGTCTTAAATGGTGTTATTGCAGTTTCGAGATTCTGTGAAAATTTTCTTTTCCTAACGTCGGGCAATTGAAGCTTTTCGGCTACCTTTCTGCTACCGGATCTCGGAGTTGGTTCGTGCACTTGAGCCTTGGATGCAGGAGGGGCTGCACGACAGCTATGATGCTATCGCGGATCCAAAAGAAGGTAATTGTTTGTGCTTTGAATGTAATCCTGTAGCGCCTTGGGTCTTTCGTGTCCATCCTTCATGAGAGGGTCCTCTTCCACTAGTAGGTCTATGAAGACTGCTTGGATCTACTAGTGGAAGAGGGAGACATTGTTCCTTAGTAATCGTTCCTTTACCTGCAGATTCTTCAAACCTAAATTTTTTGAGTAATTTAGCAAGATGTCGACTCCCAAGAAGACATACTCCTCAACAAGCTCAGCAAAGTCCAAGGCGCATAGTGTGAGGGTCGCCCAAACAACCGCAGATGCAGCACTTCAAGCTGTGTTCGAAAAGTCCGGAGATTCTGGAGATTCATTCGATTATTCAAAATCTGTCAGCAAATCAACAGCTGAGTCGCTTCCTTCAGGGGCAGTGACGGCCTACCTTCAGCGTATGCAGAGGGGAGGTCTCACTCAAAGTTTCGGGTGTATGATAGCAGTTGAAGGAACAGGATTTCGTGTGATAGCGTACAGTGAAAATGCACCCGAGATTCTAGACCTGGTGCCACAGGCCGTTCCAAGCGTGGGGGAGATGGACACGCTACGAATCGGGACGGATGTGAGAACGCTGTTCACAGCTTCAAGTGTCGCCTCTCTTGAGAAGGCAGCTGAAGCACAAGAAATGAGCCTACTCAATCCAATCACCGTTAACTGCAGAAGATCTGGGAAGCAATTATATGCCATTGCTCATCGCATTGACATAGGTATAGTGATCGACTTTGAGGCAGTAAAAACAGACGATCATTTAGTTTCAGCTGCTGGTGCACTGCAATCTCATAAGCTTGCAGCCAAGGCAATCACACGGCTTCAAGCATTACCTGGAGGTGACATAGGATTGCTCTGTGACACTGTTGTCGAAGAGGTTCGGGAGCTCACTGGTTATGACAGGGTAATGGCTTATAGATTTCATGAGGATGAGCATGGAGAGGTTGTGGCTGAGATACGTCGCGCGGATCTTGAGCCTTACTTAGGTCTTCATTATCCGGGCACTGATATTCCCCAGGCGTCCCGGTTTCTGTTTATGAAGAACAAGGTGCGGATAATTGCTGATTGTTCCGCACCTCCAGTGAAAGTTATACAAGATCCAACCTTGAGGCAGCCGGTCAGCTTGGCAGGTTCGACTTTACGTTCTCCTCACGGATGCCATGCCCAGTACATGGGCAATATGGGGTCCATTGCGTCCCTAGTCATGGCTGTGATCATCAACGATAACGAGGAAGATTCGCATGGCTCAGTCCAAAGAGGTAGAAAGCTATGGGGACTTGTAGTGTGTCATCATACATCTCCACGAACTGTACCGTTTCCCCTTCGGTCCGCGTGTGGGTTTTTGATGCAGGTGTTCGGATTACAGCTTAACATGGAGGTCGAGTTAGCCGCTCAGCTAAGGGAAAAACATATTCTCAGAACTCAAACTCTACTTTGCGACATGCTTCTTCGAGATGCTCCTATTGGTATTGTTTCTCAGATTCCAAATATTATGGACCTTGTGAAATGCGATGGAGCTGCTCTTTATTATGGGAAGCGATTCTGGCTTCTGGGTACGACTCCTACTGAGAGTCAGATTAAAGATATTGCAGAATGGTTGCTAGAATACCACAAGGACTCAACAGGTCTGAGTACTGATAGTTTAGCGGATGCCAATTATCCAGCCGCACACCTGCTCGGGGATGCTGTGTGTGGTATGGCAGCTGCGAAGATCACTGCGAAGGATTTTCTTTTTTGGTTCAGGTCTCATACTGCTAAAGAGATTAAGTGGGGTGGTGCTAAACACGATCCAGGCGAAAAGGACGATGGTCGAAAAATGCACCCTAGAAGCTCTTTTAAAGCCTTTTTGGAGGTCGTGAAGCGACGAAGTCTACCCTGGGAAGATGTAGAAATGGATGCTATACATTCTCTTCAGCTCATTCTGCGTGGATCCTTTCAAGATATTGATGACAGCGATACGAAGACTATGATTCATGCACGCCTGAATGACTTGAAGCTTCATGACATGGATGAGCTCAGCGTAGTGGCGAATGAAATGGTACGCTTGATAGAAACTGCAACTGCTCCGATACTGGCAGTTGATTCAAACGGGATGATCAATGGCTGGAATGCAAAAATAGCCCAGGTAACAGGACTTCCCGTTAGTGAGGCCATGGGTAGATCCTTGGTGAAAGATCTCGTTACGGATGAGTCAGTGGCGGTTGTCGAGAGATTACTTTATCTGGCACTGCGAGGTAATTTTCTACACCAGCCTGTTTTTTTGGGTCGTTCTTCTCACACCTGGAAGCTCTATGTGCAAGTAATTCCGTAAGAGAAAATTAAGAAAGCTGTTGTAAAACCTGTTTATTGTCTTTATCTTTACTTCCGAATTTTCTTGTCTGTTCTCCTGTCGAGACAGCTACAAATGTATTCAAATGTATTCAGGCTGTTTTCAATTTTTCATATCATACCTCTGTAGTTCCAGTCATTTCGACGTTTTTTTAATAGGCCTTGCAAAATCTGCCATTTAAGCAGGTGAGGAAGAACAGAATGTGGAAATCAAGTTGAAGACCTTTGGCACTCAGACTGAAAAAGGAGTGGTTATTCTGATTGTTAACGCCTGCTCGAGTAGAGACGTTTCGGAGAATGTTGTTGGTGTTTGCTTTGTGGGTCAGGATGTGACTGGGCAAAAAATGTTCATGGACAAGTTTACTCGTATACAGGGTGATTACAAGACTATAGTCCAGAATCCTCACCCCCTCATTCCTCCTATTTTTGGTGCTGACGAATTTGGGTACTGTTTCGAGTGGAATCCAGCCATGGAGGGCTTGACTGGTTGGAAAAAAGACGAGGTAATTCTCTGGTTTTTCTATGAAGTGGTAAGAATAATTCTAGAGGTTTTAGTATCAGACTAGGTTATGTCGGCTGAAGCTGACATTTTTTTTTTATGTGATCAGGTGGTCGGAAAACTCCTTGTGGGAGAAATCTTCGGCATGCAAATGATGTGTTGTCGGATGAAGAGCCAAGATGCCATGACGAAATTCATGATAGCATTGAACACAGCTATGGACGGCCAAAGTACAGATAAATTTACTTTCTCCTTTTTCGATCGAGAAGGGAAATACGTTGACGTTCTACTCTCCACCAATAAACGTACCAATGCTGATGGAGTCATAACTGGCGTGTTTTGCTTCTTACAAATTGCAAGTTCGGAGCTACAACAGGTATGATTATCCACGGTTCACAGCTGGGTATTCATGCCTCGAAGTAAGATACAACTGACTGATACCTTTTTCTGTTTGGTAGATTAGTGTTGAATAGTGATGGTTTGTTTACTTCTGAGTTGTCAAGCGCATTTCACGTTTTTTTATCTTTCTTTTCACAGGCTCTCAAAGTACAACGGGCTACGGAGAAGGTCGCAGTAGCTAAGCTGAAGGAACTTGCATATATTCGTCAGGAGATTAAAAATCCACTATGTGGCATTACATTCACACGACAATTGTTAGAAGATACTGATCTATCAGACGATCAGCAGCAGTTTCTAGACACGAGTGCCGTATGTGAGCAGCAGTTACAAAAAGTTCTGAATGACATGGATTTGGAGAGTATCGAAGACGGGTAATTAACGCTCCAAATTCATGATTTGTTCGTTCTGTTTGATTTATTCGGCTACGTCTGTCCTCTCTATGGTTCAAGTGTTTGACTAACATACCTTTGGAAAGGGTTTTGTTGAGAAGAGACCTACCATTGTTTATTGTTACGATTTTTCTTGATTCGGCAGGATTGTGCATTAATGCAGTTAGTTTAAATGACAGTCATTTTTAATATTAATATTAATATTAATAATTTCTTTATACTAATATTTTTTTATTGCGCGTAGGTACTTGGAGTTGGATACTGCCGAGTTCGAGATGGGCACAGTGATGAACGCCGTCATCAGTCAAGGTATGACAACATCCCGTGAGAAGGGGCTTCAGATTTTTCGAGAGACACCTCGAGAAATAAATACAATGCGTCTGCTTGGAGATCAGATTCGGCTCCAGCAAGTTCTTTCTGATTTTCTATTAAACACAGTGCGATTTACGCCTTCACCTGAAGGTTGGGTCAAAATCAAGGTGGTCCCCACTAGGAAACGTCTTGGCGGGAGTGTGCATGTCGTGCATTTAGAATTCAGGTGCCGTCTTATGCTTCTTCTCTAGCTTAAGCATTTACGTTTACTCTTTTTGGCACATATTACATTTGATTTATGCGCCTAGTTCTCATTGCATAAGGATCACAGCCGCTTTATTATGTGTTACAATCTATATACGAAATGTTACTTGGAATTAGGTCTGGAATTGAAGTACTATTATGTTTTCATGTTTTGCAGGGTAAGTCATCCTGGAGCTGGGCTTCCTGAAGAGCTTGTGTTGGAGATGTATGATAGAGGCAAAGGCATGACTCAAGAAGGACTAGGTTTGAACATGTGTCGGAAGCTCGTTAGGTTGATGAATGGGGATGTTCATTACGTACGGGAAGCTATGCAGTGTTATTTTGTTGTAAATGTGGAGCTCCCAATGGCTCAGCGGGATGATGCTTCAAGTCAAATGTAGGAGTTTATACTCCCTATTTGCTTGCTTAGATACTCTTATAGGTGGTTCTTTGGGACCTCTCTCTAGTAACGAGAGAGTTTAAGGGTGAAAGTAGAGAAGTTTGACTTTACTTTTTTAGATGTCCAGTTCAACTTTACTTAGGTGTCTCCAAATGAGACAATCTTGCCTCTAAGCCCGGCAAATCAAAGTGCCTACGTTGATACACAAGCTATCCTTTTGAGGGAATTAGCTATGTCGTCTACGATGTACAGCAATTTCCTTTTCTTGCAAATTCAGTTCAACTCCTTTTCACGGTTTGCATTGAAGCGCTTCAATTTTTGGAAACCTGGAGTTGACACTTGTTTTCCATCCTCGGACTTTCATTTCGCTATTGCTACTGTGAAAGGAATTTCAAGCATGTTCTGTGACGATTCATGGGTTGGAAAGGGAGGTCTACCAATCATGTCTAGGGATTAGTAACATCTCGTATAGTATTTGGTAAACTTTAGGTTATATACTTAAGTGTATTGAAAAATATAAAAGAGCTTTGTTTGAACGGCGTGAAGAATTAAAGCGAGTCCGTTGAGCATCACAAGTTTGATTGATTTTTTCAGGTAGCATACATGATCACACTACTCTAAAAGTTTGAGACCTTGATTGAGAATCCTCTTTCACATGATATTCAACATTCATCAAACTTGAGGTTGCTTCTTTCCGTTCCTGTGAGATCAATGTGTGGAATCTGTGATAAGAAATGAAAATTCTCTGCAGAGGTTGAGATTGACAACAGCAGAGTCAATTAGGTTAACTTGATTCCCCTAAAAATATCAGAGTTTCTTCATTCTCCTCAAGGCTCTTGAACATCTCTACAATTGAGAGTTTGTACCCAATCTCCATATGCAATTCCTTTCAAATGGGAAGGTTTGGGAGATGAGCAATTGCTAGTTATTCCAGACCTGGTCAGGGGTGCCGTTAATGCAGTGAAAACCAGGAATAAGGTATAGATGGTGAAAATCGATTGGAAATGGATCTGAAAAGTAGGACAGTGGATGCTTAGTTCCCTCTTTTTTTTTGAAGAGTTTCATTGTAGTACACTATCAGACTATTCAGTATATAGTTGTATTCATGTTGTTATCCATTCACAACAGCCTTCTCTCGAACAACTGAAGTATCAAATGTAGTTAGAGGACACGTACAGCCCACTCCTATTGACTTCAGGTGGCGCAGCAATATGTCGCACTTATGGAGACAAATCAAATGTAGTCAATAGTATAGGAACCTCCAATTCTGTATGAACAGGTCACTAGTAGAAAGAAGCTTAGAAGAAGCTCTACAAGATCAAGAGTTGAGTTCACCTTTAGTCTACTAAAATGTTTCTTGCACGGCATCTTCAGCACAGCAGCATGGCCCAAAAGTACTTCCAGTCGAGTTCTACAACTTCACCTCAACCAGACGCGATGCAGATGCTTATAGAAGAGCAGCAGTAGTGAGGTGACTCAATTTGCAAAACTCGCAATTCAAGAACCAAGCTTTGATACCATGTGAATGAATAACAGTAGGAATACATCAACACTTCCCAACACAATACAGTTTGATGGTGTATCACCATGAAACACTTCAAAAACAAACAAGAGAATTGAGATACAACCTCCTGATGATCTCAGATTCATAACTTCTTGCTCTGATCTAGTAAGGTAGGTAAACACATCTGTTCAACATGAAGTTGACTTCCATCTATAGTAATGGACCAAGTTATCTCCAGTGTGTATTTGATCTTCAACAAAATCCTCAACTGTAATGTGTGAGTAATGGAGTCAATCACCCTAGCGCACAGTACTACTGCTAACAATTCATCTGTTCCTACATCAATCACTGGAGTGTGTTTAATTTTCAAACTTAAACTTCTAACCGTTTCTTCAACTTGTCCTTGCAAGGAAGAAGTTACTCCTTTCAATGTGTCCAAAGGATAATGCAATTGATAATGCAATTGATTTGTAGTTCCATAATGGCTGCGATTCCATTTGTCCAAGGTAGTACTTGAGCTTGTGGGTGAAGAAGTCGATACATTCAAGTTTGCTTTATATCACCTCGAAAAGATCGTAGATATAACTTCTGCAAAGAGCACCATGATATTACTGTCATAGCACACAATGGAAGCCATGGTGAAGTCAACTACAATTTTGTTCACGAGGGCAAGTCCTTCCTTAAGCGAGAGCTTGAATGGCTTCTCTACACTTATGATGTGCAAAGCTTCTAGTGCGAAGTTCTCCTAACCGTCTTTGGTGACTACTCTAAAAATTGGCCAACTTGTAAGCAAGTCGGCAATATATGATAAAGGAATCAGATTACCAGAGGTGGTGATGGTATTTCACAGTGATAGCTTTGAGATAACATGCACGTTCAACAAGCATTCCATTGCTTGGAGGATCTCCTATCAAATGCTAGAGTAGCTCTGCATGAGCGTGTTGGTCCGCACAACCATGATTTTGCAAGTGGTTTTTGTGGGTAGAAAGTTGCCTTTGCAAATAATGCTCATGTCGGAACTCCACTCCTTACTATGTGCAATGGTGCAAGGTAGCACCAAATCCAATAGTTAAGCCATAGATATCACCACTATTCATGTTTTTATTAAGCACCTAGTTGGAGCTCTCATCCACTCTCTTCTTGACATTTACAGTGCCAAGTGCCATATGTACTTTAGGTTTGCAAGCAATAGCTGCCACTTGAAGAATATTAAGGTTGGCTCCTTCAATTACCACTTGAGTGGTATTCTCAAAAATATCCACTATCCGCACGACCTCCTCAAAATGGCTACATTCCATAGCCTTGGTAGTCTTGACCTAGTTAAAAGGATTTGTACCATAAATTTCTCTGACAATGGTGTTGCTTATTGCTGCAATGGTGAAAATGAGCTGAGTATATGCAGACATTGATATCTTAAAAATTGTAACATTTTTGGAATTTTCTATAAAAGTTGAATCCAAAAGATAACTTACTATTTGTGGATTTTTTTGATTTTTATAATATTACTTTGGTTGATTTTGGTTGGTTTTATGTGATTTTTGAGGTTGATGTAATTGAAATTAAAATTGGTTGTAATCCTTGCTATAAAGATAATTGAGTCTTCTTGTTATTTTGTTTATATCATTTTTGAATTAGAAGTATTTGATGAGTAGATATTAAAAAATTTATACGTTAGATGTATTATAAAAAGATCCAAGTGATGATATTGATATATGCCAAAATTATATTACTTGTAATATCATGTTATGACAAATATATCCTAAAAATTATTTATTGGAATTTTGTTAATGAATATCAAAATATAATTGATATTTTAAAAAATATTAACTTCTATACTTGAATTTCAAACAATATATTTGATGGTAGGATTAGTTATTTTAAAAACCAATTATAACAAAAACTCAAAGTTCATAAATGCAAAAAACTTAATATAATGTAAATGAAAAGAACATAAAAATAAATGAATGAATAAATAAATAAATAAATAAGAATATATTTAATTTTTTATATTATTATTTTTTAATTATTTGAAAAAATTCTTTTGATTCTTAAATGTTAAATTTTTTTCTTGAAACCCTAAATTTTTGTATTGACATGCATGAACATTGAAAACTATAGGCCTTTGACTATTAAAATGAAAGATAAAACCTAAACTTTTTGAAGAAATATACTTAGTTTGATACAAACATGTGCCATGATAAATTGCCAATGATATTTTTCGTGAAGAATAATACCTTGAATCCTAAATTACTATGTTGTTTGTATCAAAATACCTTGATGTAAAAAAATCATATTGTAATTAAGAAAACATGTTTTTATCATTTACACTATAAATCCATGTCACGGACATAGAAATACAGGCTCGAGATCTAACAAGAAGTTCAAGAAGAATTGGCAAGAACTAGATTAATCAGATGAATATAAGAACAACACCAGAGAGGTGAGCTAGATCTCCAAGAGATGTGTTGTCGAGACTGAAGAACTCTTCAGCCTCGATTCCAATATATACTCCTATTTAGGAAGCTTCTCAAGCAACTTCTACCAATTAAGAAGCTTCTAGAAGGTTCTAAAGACTTGTTTCTAGAAGGTTCTAGAAACTTGTCTCTAGAAGGTTCTAAGGACTATGTCCCTAACATCTTCTATCAACTAAGAAGCTTCTAGAAGGTTCCAGAGACTTGCTTCTAGAAGGTTCTAGAAACTTGTCTCTAGAAGGTTCTAAGGACCATGTCCCTAACATCACCCTCTCCTTTAGCTTCGAGGTCTTTGAGAAGCAATGTTGTTATTAATCAGTACCAATGCAAGAAAATGAAGATCTGTCGCATAACGTCTGCTATGAATTCTAATTATTGTTCACGAGGCAAGTGGTTCATCGACCCTTGAAGCCAATGGTAGTGGCCCACTCCTTCAACTTTTGACCAAGCATGAACTTCCGTATCCTCATTGTGAAATTGTCCTACAAACACGCCTTCTGGCTGACCATCGTAAGCAAGTTCGAACTCAAATACAATCACCAGTGATCGGTTACTCGGTATCCTCCATCGTCATCGTGGTGTAGGCAATTCTTCATCTCAAGGTCGCCTTCGTGAGCTAATCGATTGAGATAATCTGACTGGCATAGTATCTATCTCTTGGCTATTCATATCAGAAGACCAAACTATGGCTATTGAAAAAATTCTACTTTATCCTGGAAAAATTAACTACATCAACTGCAAATTTTAGTGGTGCTCTCCCCCTTTCTTATATTCTTGGATGAGCAAGCTTTAGAAAGAAGCTATCGTCGAACCGGCTTAGGTTTATGAGGATGTTATTGATGAAATTCCTGTATCTTTTGTGACGCATTGGCGAGATTTTCAGCTGGCTCCCACGTTCGCTCATTAATGTCGTACCCGCTCCAATGAATAAGATACTCCAATTTGCTCCACCTTTGCCGTGAATCCAGTAACTTTTCAACCTCATATTCCTCATGGTTCTCGATCTCAATACTAGGTGGTGGACATTACACTCTTCCAGGAAAAGACGACTCTCGATAAGGCTCCAACAAAGAAACATGAAAGACTGGATGTACCTTCATAGAAGTCGGTAATTCCAGACGGTACGCCACTGGATTGATTTGCTTCTGGATGATAAATGGTCCCAATCTTCGATAGTCCAACTTAATAAATCAAGCTTCGGATGATATCCATAGTTGGAAAAGAATGGTGTGTATTGAGTCAACGTATGGAGGGTGTTGTTATATGCAAACTCGGCTAGTGGTAGATATGTAGTCCAATCGTCTTGTTGATAGTTGATGCTGCATCGTAAGTATTGTTCTAAGACTTAGTTCATCCATTCCATTTGGCCATCAG